AGTACAATCCCTGCTGAAATGTCCCGTCTTGCCGCACCTGTAGCAGCCTGTCGATCCTAATCTACACGCTCCCTCGTGCGACCTGCCGCACTTCCTGCAGCGGCCCGGTCCTGAATGGCCTTTCGGCCTACCATCTGATCCCTTGGGCTTCTTTCCCGAAGCCCCTATCGTCTGTCCCTCCTCTGCCTTCCTCTTCCGAATGTGCTCCAGATCTATCTCCCTCTCCCTCGCCCTAGCAATCATAGAATCCAGGGTAGGGCAAGCTGAAAAACTGACATGCTCCCGAATGTCGGCTCGCAACATGTCATGGTAGCGGGTTCTCCTCATATCCTCATCACCTGCATACTGGGGCACCAGTAACGCCCTCTCCCGGAACTTGGCAGTGATCTCCGCCACTGTCTCTGTCGTCTGCCTCATATCCAAGAACTCCCGTGCCAACTGCTGGAGTTCCACCGTAGGCGCGAACTCCGCCCTGAATCGTGTCACAAAGTCCGGCCATGTCATAACCTCAATGGCCGCGGCTCCCAAAGAGTCACAAACCGACTCCCACCAATCTCTAGCTCTGTCACGTAGACACCCTGCTGCAAATCGTACCTTCGACCCCTCGGGGCAGAAGCTGATCAGCTGTGCAGACTCAAGGTCTGCAATCCATCGTCTGGCAGCAATGGGGTCCTTCGCCCCATGGAAATCTGATGCACCACTGCCCCTGAAGTCCTTAAAGGACAGTGTGCGTGGTCCTGACTGGCTAGCCGCCATATCATTTCCTGAACGCCCTGAGACGATCCTCCATCAACTCTACAATACCCTCCTTGATCGACCCGAAGATGATGGGAGTCGACTCAAGGATGCCCCTGGTAATCTCTGACGCAATGAACTCGCGTAGACCCTCATCAACTGGTTCGGACCCTGAACCCGAACCCGATCCTGATCCTGAGCCTCCCGCTCCCTGTCGTGTGGTCACCATGCTGCAAAACATAACATAACCACCATTATACTATATTCCACTAACGAGGCTCACATTCATATCACAAGTTCCAGGTCTCGTCTAGGCCCTTTTTGAATCGAGTACGGATCCTCCGCTTTCAGTAGTACGGGCCCATACTACCTTCCACGTCTATCCGTACTTTCCTCAAAAATTGCCTCAACTCAACCAAGTCCTTTCTACTAATACTGCGGTTCTCGTGCTACTCTCGCCCTAGGCTTGCCCTAGGGAAATCTCTGACTCTACCCAAACCAGTCCTCAGCTGCTGAAGGCCTCCTTGTAATGCCAATTAGCCATCACCTGAATACCATCACATGTGACGAGGCTCAGATAATCCTTCGAGTAAGAGACTCGTCCCTATAACGGTTAGACTCAAACGAGAGCTGCGCAATAGGTCAAAATCCAGCACTCTTAGATTATTCAACCCTGATCGCATGTGACGTGACGTATTCACCTAATGGCTAACTCCCATCACTCCGAGCCCTACAAGTACGAAGCAAGCAGCATTCGGACACAGTAAACTACTCAAGCAAATCTATCCTCATAACGAGAAATCTCATGCTACTCTCGCCCTAAGTAATCGCCATCCCACTCTCTGCCATCAGCTGCACAAAGTGTCCCTGCTTTCTTTCCCTAACTAGCTCGCGAATACTATTACATATTACTCAGACTAGATAATTATTCGAATGAGAGGTCCTACCCTACAACGGTTGGACTCAAACAAAAAGCTGCGAAATAGGGCTAGACCCAACCTTCTGAAATTATTTAATCCTTGCAATATGTAACTTAGCATATTCGTTCACTAGTTAGTGAAAGACAACTGGAACTCCTAATAGCACAAAGCAAGCAGCATTCGGGCATTGAGTACACATAATCAAGTATATACTACTCTGGCTATCATACTGACTGATCTGTACTAGCATGCAATTCTCAAAAAGCCGAAACACATAAAGCAGGCACATAAGGCATCATTCCTAGATCCTTAGTCCTATTCTAGCATGCTGTTCTACTGAAACTGAAACTGATAATCATAACGTAAACTTGTATGGGTACTTTGGGGCAAACTTACTTGAGCTCGGCCGGTCGCGCACATCACACACCTTTTTCTTTATAGAAACCCCTTTTTCTTAGTCTTTAGAAAATCATTTCTTTATAAAAATCTTTTTATTCCCTCGATTTGAGTCCAGACACCCCCGATGGTGTGCCCGAATCCCTCAAACCAGGGCTCTGATACCAACTTGTAACATCCCGAAAAATACCAGCTAAAAATTTCATTTTTAAATTAGGTTAATTCATAAAAACATCGTTACAAAACATTCATAATATTAATTTATGTCTGAGAACCGGTAACATCATAGTAAAATATTCAGAGTACATCCCAGGAAATCCATAGTGCGGAAAACATGAGAGTGTGTGATATGCCGCTACCGCGCCGGCTCCTTTCCCCTAGCTGAAGAGGTACCTGAAAACAAAACTATAAAACGTAAGCACGAAGCTTAGTGAGTTCCCCCATAATGCCACATACCATGCAATCATATAATGAGTAACTAAGGGATACGGGCCTCGCCCATACCCATAGAGGTACGGGCCTCGCCCACACTCTACTAGCTAGGAGATACGGGCCTTGCCCATACTCTGCTTTCTGAGAGATACGGGCCTCGCCCACACTCTACTACTAAACCATAACATACAAGTATCACACAGACAACAAGTATAAGCAATTCTATCATACTGGCATATAACACAATCAAACTCAGCTATGAGATACGGGCCCCGCCCACACTCTGATACTAACATATCGTCTATACGGGCCGACCTTGGTGCCTTAGACCCGTCCCTACTGGAAGAAAACTCACCTCGAGAGTAGCTGCTGAAAAACCTGCTCAGACTACGCCTGGCTGCCGCACCGGTAATCCCTCCGGCTATAAATCCGTAAACATGGATTAGGTACTCATAAATACCCCTAAGGTCAAATGACTGGTCAAAGTCAACTCCTTGGTCAAAGTCAACCTTCTGATTGACTGGACTCGCCGAGTCCATATGGCGACTCGCCGAGTCCTTCTTTATCTAGCCCGACTCTGACTCATCGGGTCCCTGTTCCCACTCACTGAGTCAGCCTGACTCGCTAGACGGGGTCAACTAACAAACCCGCGACTGGACTCGCCGAGTCCAAGGGGGTGACTCGCCGAGTCCGACGAACAGATCTCACAAATCGCTCCAATCTTCCATCGGAACATCAACCCTGGAGATTTGGAGATTCTGGGACTATAGCTACACGTTAAATTGCTAATTCCACGTGTGACTACGGTGGGTTGGACCTCCTACGCTTAAACCCTTCTTATCCTAGTGACTGATCATATGACTCGCCAAGTTGGAAGAACAACTCGTCGAGTTCAAGGCTATATTCGAAGGACACGCCGAGTTTGAGGAACGACTCGCCGAGTACCAGACAATCTTCATAGGACTCGCCGAGTTGCTTATCCAACTCGCCGAGTCTAAGGCCATCTTCATGGAACTCGCCGAGTGCACTTTGGCACTCGCCGAGTACCCTTCGACTCTTCACCCATTCTGGCCAATTTTGAGACATGCAACTGATCCAACTCATGGGTCTCAGTTCCTAGGGTCTGGTTATCACATATACACACGAAATCTGGGGGTTTTAAGGCTTGAAGATCAACCATTGGGGACAAAAACGAACCTAAGAGCTAATGAGCAAAGTGAGGGTTTTATTACCTGATTTGATGCCTTCCCCAGAGTAGATTTCGGTTCTACCTTCACTTCTGGAACACTCCAACTTCCTCCTTCTTCTTCTAAGCTCCAAAACCTTCTTTGGAAGATCAAAATCACTCAAGAACACTAAAGGAGCTAGGGTTGTTCTCTACTGCTCTCTGGGAGGAAAATGGGACGAAATGGGTGTTTTAGAATGGGTAAAATAGGGTGCAATGTCTGAAAATAGAGTTTCATTCAGACGGGTGGACTCGCCGAGTCCGTGCATCGACTCGCCGAGTTCACCGCTCAAATCCCGTGTCCACCCTGCTGCTACTCGGCGAGTCGGGACGTAGACTCGCCGAGTTCGTGGCAAAAAAATAAGAATAAAACTTAAATAAAATCATACCATGAACCCGGTGTTACAAAAATATTTCCAAATTCTTTTTACTAAATAATATAGTTGAATAAAGCAACTATCATCTACTACATCGAATGAGTCGCAAAGCATTTTGGGTTCAAGAATATATATATATATATATATATATATATATATATATATATATATATATATATATATATATATATATATATGGGAAAAGTGAATATACCTTACAATAGTATATGAGTTTAGGTACTCAACCTTATAATAACTACAACGTTTTGAATAATATTTGCATTATAAACGTCCAAAGTTCTTATAATTTAACCCTTAATAGATTTACTTGCAAGATTTTCAGAATTTCACTATTATCTTTCTCATACATCACATCTTTCTACCGAAAACCTACAGACTATATATATTATAGTTGCAATTAAAAATTATGTAAGAGGAAGATGGTGGTGAATTCCTGAAAATCTTAGAAAAAAAAATCAAGTTAGGGGTTGAAGTTTAAGAACTTGGGACGATTACAATGCAAATATGATACAAAACAACATAGTATGGTAGTGTTTGATATCTAAGCTTATATATTGTTGTAAGGTATATTCACTTTCCACACACACACACACACACACACACACACACACACATATATATATATATATATATATATATATATATATATATATATATATATAAACCGTATTATCGGAGAACCTCATGTTAATCCGCCCAAGACCTATGCGGGAGGTTGATCTTCAAACAATAATGATATTTTGGACGTGCCATTTTAACCTTGAGCTTATGTATGCAATTCCACACCACAACCACTAGACATCCATCGCTAGGGCTAGAATACGTATAGAATTAACCTATCGTTTTCTGTTTCGCGTGTACGGTTAACCTTAGTTTAAGTACTCACAATTACAGGTAGCACTGGCATCTGAATCTGGACCATACACAAATGTGGTGAGAGAGGCCCAATTAGAAATGAAGCTTGCGAATCTAAAGACTGTTGATGCAATGGGTTTAAGCTTGCAACAACCAGAAAATTTGCATCTTACCACACCATCTCAAGTATCTCTTGGAAAGATGTTAACTAAAGCCTTCCTCCAAGTTTGTCATTACTACCACTTGTAAACAATTCTTACAACAAATTAAACATTATTATTGATTATTATCCCGTTAATATGTAACATCCTGACTCCCAGGTACAAATTTAAATTGTTTTATATTCATTTTGGCAGGACAACTCGACGAGTTGGAGGCCCCAACTCGTCGAGTAGAGATTGAGATAGCCGCGTTGTTTTTAGAGTAAACTTGACGAGTTGGAGGACCCAACTCGACGAGTAGGAGTTGAGCGTGAAAACCCTAATTTTCAGGGTTTGCACCCTATTTAAAGGACCTTAAGTCCTTTACCCCACCTCCCTCATCACTTTAACACCCTGAGAGAAACCCTAATCGAGCTATTATCATATGTGTGTGTGTGAGAGAGAGAGAGAGGCTAAGAGTGCGTGTTTTGGGTGCATTCTTTGAAGGAGCTTGAGGAGAAAAAGGCTTGGAACGAGAAGGAGTCCTTGGATCCGACATTCTTTCAGTGTTAGCGGCCATTTGGAGGTATAAAGCCACTAACTTGATCACATGTTTGTTAGATCTCTCCATTAGAGAGTTATGCCCATTTTTAGCATTTCCCTTGGGTCCTTATTGGCTTTGAGCTTACCTTGAAGACGAGGCTTCAGATCTGGACAATATTAGGTACCTTAGGCCTAAAGATTCAAGCTTTAGCCAACTTCCATGCCTTAAACCCTTTGTTGAGCTTTGGTTTGGCAAACTTAGCCCTAGATGCCATGCATGGACGTAAAGCTTGCAGCTTTACGTGGTATTTCAGCCTTAGGAGGCTAGATCTAGAGTTTGGGGCCTGAGTCTTGCTTAAAGACGTCTGAATGAGAGAATGGCTTGAAGGAACTCGACGAGTTGATGAGCCAACTCGACGAGTTGGTTAGGGTTTTCCCCGATAGTCTGGACGTGTTACAAAATCGGCGAGACAACTCGGGGAGTTGAGTTGGATTTTTCCCGACTTTCTAAGGACAGAAGGAACTCGACGAGTTGGGTCAGCATGGACTGTTGACTCGAGTGTTGACTTCCGTTGAATTTTAGGGTTGGGTCAAGTTAGGGATTTTGGGGACCATGGAGGGGTAAAATGGTCTTTCACCCTTTCCGAGAAAAAGGAGTTAGCTTAACATCTTGGAGTTGTTATTATCACTTGTTAATTAGAGATGATTATGATATATGTAGGCGGAGTCTAGACCTACCGTTGAGTACGAGACATACTTGCTTACTTACGAGGTGAGTCTTCTCACTATACTTACCTGAGTGGTAATACTGTGTGACCGGAGGGTCTTATATGAGTTATCGACCGGAGGGTCTTATGTGCTTATACTGAGTTATGTGATATCATGCATTTTTTCTTTGTGATTTATGTTGTATATTATTTATGTGCCTTATTGAGTTAGGACCGGAGGGTCCAAACCGAGTTGTGAGACCGGAGGGTCTTCACTGAGATACCAGAATGGAGGGTCCGACCCGAGCTGTGAGACCGGAGGATCTTCACTGAGATACATGATCGGGGGGTCCTTAACGAGATATAGCCATGAGAGGCTAATTATTTGTGTGTGGTATTTTGGGGAACTCACTAAGCTTCGTGCTTACAGTGTTGTGTGAAATGTGTTTCAGGTACCTCTCAGGATCGCTGGAAGGCACCGACATGATTGTACACACCAGCTAGAGATTTTGTTTTGAGGATTCTGGGATATTGTCAAACATTTTGTTATCTTGTGTTTTGAACAACTTATAAATTTGGGTTTGAGAAATATGAAACTGTGTTTGGGGTGGTTTTAAAAATGAAAATTTTATTTGAAAATTTAGAGTTTTACAAGTTGGTATCAGAGCCTTGGTTTGAGGGATTCGGATGTACCCTCGGGTATGTCTGGACTCAAACTGAGGATTTGAGAAAATTTTCTAAAAAGAAATTATTTTCTAAAACGAGTAAAAGCTTTTAAGAGAAAACGAGATGAAGCAGTGTGTACAATCAGCCAGAGCCCGAACGGTGATTTCCCAAAATACCATTACTTGTTTATATTATGAGATGAGATACTTATGAGATATTAGAGCTGCATGCTAGATGATAGGCTAGGTATTTTAGGAATTTAGAGCTAGAGTTTCCTAATTCATTATGCCTTAGCCTAGGGGGATGCTATTGATTGATATTATCTGCTATTTGTTCTGTGTGTGTGATGAGTAAGGGTACATAGCAGGAATCTTTTAGAGAGAGCTTTGAGTCGAGGAGTAATCTAGGAGAGATACCTAGATGTGTATTGAGGGATCTATTGAGAGAGTAGTTTGATTCGGGGGCTACCCGATCCTTTGTGTCGCTTGCGCTTAGCAAGAGATCTGCTGGAGCTCCGGGGGAGTTGGATTGTCCTCTTGATGTTGAGATTGTTGATGATAGGGTTGTCCGGGTTGCGAGAGTTCATCGGGGTTGTACTCTTTAGTTGTTCAGTGATCAGTATTTGGTGGATTTGGTTCCCATTTTGTTGTGTGGGAACAAGGTTATCGTGGGCATGAATGTAACGCCCGCAGATTCGGGCTAGTTAATTTAAAGACAATAAACATCAAAAATGACTTTTTGATAGAAGATTATTTAGAATAAAAAATCTTAACCAAGTTATAGTATATGTCACAAGGGTTCCGTACATATAAAGAACGCTGAAATCCGAGTTATAACGAAGAAGTTATGACCTGTCAAAGTTTTACGGCTAAACCGGCACGGCACCGCGTCACGTAGAAAGTGAATTTTTGATAAATTACTTTTTAGCCTTAGTGATCTAAATGAAAGTCGTAGTATACGTTAAACCAAGAGCGTGCATAAAAAGAACGCCCAAATCTGACTGCGTATGAGGAAGTTATGATTTTTCTAAGATTTGGCATAACAGTGCACAACCTGAAATTCGAATTTTAGATCGATCGATTTTTGGCCGACCCAACCTAAATGAGAAATTAAGATCTCATTAATAGGAGCTCAACGATAAAAAGACAGACGAGAACGGAGTCCGTATGTAGAAGTTATGAATTTTACACGGTCATTTAACAGTGTAATCTTCTCATACTGTTAAATTTAAAATCGGTCAAGAATTAGCCGATGGAGTCAAAATAAGAGTTGTACATATTTTCAATACCTACGTGTGGATATAAAGAACGTCAAAAATGGAGCTCGTATGCGATAGTTATGGGGTTTAGAAGTCGGCAGGGTGCTGCTGCGAAGAGGGTGACGTGGCTGATCGAAACCCACTTCTCTCTCATTCTAACTTCTCTCTAAACCTCCCAAAAACCCTCTAAAGCCCTAGTAACCTCAAGGTGCTAGAGGAAAGCTCCGGAGCACCCAAAGGCTCCAAGAAAAAGAGCTTTTCGGCTCAGAAGTTCTGCCCGCGCAGAGCCCGGTTCTTCGCTAACCCCCCTGTAAGATAAGTTATGCTTACCGTACTTTAAGTATAACTTATGTTTAAGTTCATTATCGTTATTATGGACCTATAAACAAGATTTATCAGTGATTCCAAGTCATTATATTACTTGATCTACTTACGGGGATGATGTCTAGGTTGTGATTTAGTGAGGTGTTTAAAGTGGGATTTCCAAACAGTATATTTTGTATACCAAACAGACCCTACCTCCGATATGATCCTACCCTGGTTGTTCCTTACTTGATAGATCATGAAAGTAGACTTTGAGTTAATGATGAATCTAGACTAATAATTAGTCGCAATAAAGATTAGACTAAAACTTAGCCATAATAATGCTAGGTTTCGTCGAAGGAAAATAGAATCTTTAGAAGCGAAGCGCTGCCCGAATTTGAAATCATCACTTTAACAAGTGAGTGCATAGTTACTTTCAACTTACACATAGATTTGAATTATTTTTATATAAATTATGTGCTATGTGTGCATATTATCGTTTTACTTAATATCTATGCTAGATGAACGATCTTATACATGTTTTAAATGGTTTAAATTGTATATGTATTTTATATCTACAAAATATGTTGGGTAAAACATGGGTAGATGAATGATAAGGGATGAAAGTTGATATAGAGGAACATTGGCAGTTATGGACATAGTGCCCTATAGGTGAACATTGGCAACAATGGACTTAGTACCCTATAGATGTGCATTGGCAGCTGTGCCACAACATGTAGATGTTTTGATCTACGATGTACTCTAAACATCCTAACAGTTGCGCTCAAAGGGTAGTATCGACAGTTGCGCCTAATAGAGAACATCATAACCCTGGCAGCTGCACCCAAAGGACAATATCGGCAGCTGCACCTAATAGAGAATGTCATAATTCTGGCAGCTGCGCCTAAATGATAATATTGGCAGTTGCGATTAATAAATAACATTGACAACTGTGTCATTAGGCAAACGATGGAATTCGTGCCAATTCCTTAAAACAATCCTTAGGAATGAATGAGTGAATGATAAATGATTCTTAGGATAGATCCTTAGGAAATAAAGAAGATAACGGGATGGATAATTGGGTTGATTGTTTAATGATTAAACATAATTATATTTTTTTGGGTTGAAAACCCTATGTACTCACCAGGTTTCCTAACCTGACCCACTCAAGTTTATTTGTATCACAGGTGTCGATACGAAGCTACTTTACATTGAGCGATTAAAGAGATGTAGATCACTAGTGTAAATGAATGTAAGGTATGTTTATGCTTATTTTCTGTATTGACAATGACATCCCAAAGTTTTAAAAGAAATGGAATAAATTTTTTCGGAAATGCTTTGATAACACATTTATCATGTTTTTCTGGGAACAAATTTCGCAACACTTTTCTTTAAAAAGGTTACTCTGATTTTCACACAAAGCATAAAAAAATCGGTCTTTTCTGGCCGTGAAAATGGGGATGTCATAATGGATTGGTTGATCCCTAATGGGGCATTGATCGATTGTGAGCTGCAGTTTGTACAAGTTCGGGCTCCGAGTGGGGGAGAGTTAGTTGTTCATGGGGAGAGATCTCAGCGTAGGCTGATTTTGTGTTCAGCGGCGAGGGCTAGATGCTATTTTCTATAGGGTTG